TATCTGTAAAATAAAATGGAGATGTTAGAAAAAAAGTAAATCGATAAAAATGAAAGGCTCTTATTGAAAAATAAACAACATTTGTGATTTCAGTAATCGGATTTGGACATTAAATAATCTGATAGAAGGTTTTTGGGGCCTGCAGATTTTAATTCTTCGTTTGGACAATTCGGATTTTTTAGCGCTGAAAATATTCAATGTTGTTATTAATCGTCCATATATATTATTAAAATTTTAAAAGATTCTATTTGGAAAAACTGTAACCTTTCACAAAAAAAAAAAAAAAAAAAAAAAAAAATTAATGTCCTTAATCGGGATCTTTAAAAAATAGTTTGATGTGCTTGCGAGGGCCCTTAATCAATTCGTGTACGTATAGTAGCAAACATTTTTGGTAACAAATGCTAGACATAATGGTTCATATTTGTTGAAAATAGCCAAGTCCGGTACAAAAAACCAAAAAAGTACGAGGTAAGGGCTGCAATTCAAAATATAATTACTTGGGCATATGTGACAGACTTTACCGATTAATGAACTGGAACCTCGGAATTGTCTCCTCCAATTTTTAAGTCAAAAAACAAATGCTAAGTATGCACCCTAAGAAATAAAAAGTTTAGTCTTTGAAAAATGACAGGAAAAAGACATTATCGGACATTATTTTGTTATGAAGCTTCTTAGAGCAACAGGCTGCTTTTGTATCCTTTGTTCATACGTTTGGACGTGTCTCCTATTATATTTAAAATCAAAACTTAAGAATTCGCCTCAAGCCGAAATAAATAAACTAAATATTTGCTAGAAATACTGTCAAAATAACATTAAGGGGATATAACTTTTTTTTGAGGAAATTTAAAGTGATGGCGTTTTTTTAGTACTGTTATAAACGGTTTTCTACGTGTTATGAGTTAATTAAAAGTCAAAATCGCATCAAATGAGCTCTAGCTGAAAGAAATAAACTCAATAATTGAGGAAATACATGGCAAATGACGATTGTCTTGAAGGAAACACTGTTTAAGTAACTTTAAAATGCGGGATTCTATAGGTCAATTAAGCATGAACTTGGACGTGTTTCATGTTTCTTCAAGTTGATATCTTACTAACCGACCTCGAGCCAAAAACAAATTTCACTTTACCAGTGCAAGAACTTTAAAAGAACACATATATTAAAAACCAGTAATATAAGGAAAAAAAAGTACAGAGATTTAGAGTTAAATTAAATACAGATTAATAACGCTTGCAATAAGAAATTTTAGATATGAAGACAATCAAAAGTTTAGATATAACATAATCAATTCCATAATACATAGGGCATAAGAAAAAATATATTATAAAATAAAAATAAAAGGGAAAATACATAGACACAAAAAAAGGTGGCAAATAAAAATAACAAAAGAAAACAAAAAGGCATAAATAAAAGTATAAAAATAATAAAGATACAAAGTAAAATGAGGAATATAACTAAACAATGGGGAAAAAAGACTTAAACTAAAAAAAATTCATCCTAAGAGAAGGAAACATAGAGAGATATAACAACATAGAAGAACATAGTGGCATATAAAAGGAAGGTCGCATAGTAAAGGACAGTGGCATAGTTAAGGACGGTGGCATACTAAAGGAAGGTAGCATAGCGAAGGACAGTGGCATATAAAAGGAAGGTGGCATAGTAAAGGACGGTGACATATTAAAGGAAGGTGGCATAGGTGAAATTGTGGAATAACTTCAAGATAATGACATAATTAGGGCTGTAATGGGTGAGAGGAATGGTAATAAAATTATTTAAATCAAACGGTCATTTCGTTTATGCTTTCGCGCGCGGACACAGGGAATGGTTCTACCACCAACACGACTATCATGAATTTCAGTGACCCGACGATAGACACGAGGAAAACTTGGGTCCTCAAACTTGTGATCATAGGCATAGTCTTGAAGAAACTGGAACATCTCCCAGGAAACGTCACCCATTGGTTCTAAGAACCAAGATACTTTTCGCGTCGCAATAGTTGTTGAAGATGTACGCCTAAACACCTTAGTAGGGTAAGACATGGGCACATATTCGAGAATATACACCGATGCCGCCAGAAGGATACAATGTAATTGTTTGAGAGACCTCGAACTGATATCAGCATGCAGAAAAAGCTCCAAGAAAACAGAGCGGGAACCAAATGCTTTCCATGATCTATCCATACGATCATCCGTCACCAAAGATTGAACCCAAGCCCGTTCACGGTGCTCTTGTTCGACATAAGGAAGCAAAAACGCAACACGCCTCAGAAAGTCCATTTTGACCGTGAGATCCAGCGCATCCCGAAGTTCAGGGTCGAACATGGATTGGTCACCACCGAACGAAAGATTTTCGATGTTGCACCCGGTGTGGCCACCTCCAACCAGAGAAAAATACTCCTCAAAAAAAGACTTCCAGGAAACGGACAGCGGATTCGGGCCCAAGACCAAAACGATGAAATATTTGACGGGTTTTTTCAGCGTATCTGACGGTGTCAGCATTGCCAACGTCAAACATTGGGATAGCTTGGTTGGTCAACCAAGTTCCAGGAACACGATGCCTGCTAAGTGGGGTTTTGGAAAAGCCCAGACAAGGAGCGAAGGTCAAGGGGCCCAGAGAAACGGTGTAGCTTACCGTGTTGTTAAGTGCCACGTCATGAGCCAAGTGCACATTTTCCGGATTAATTTCATTAGCGGCAGCCATACGGTCTATTTCGTTGACTAAACTGTCACCATCTACCACCAAAGTTCTGACAAAAGACAAACCGGGAAACATATCCGCCTTTCTGGTCGAATCAAAAGCATCGATGAAACGCCACTCGTTAAGATCAAACACGAAATGGTAACTCATAAAAACAGGTAGTTTTTTTTTACAGCGATGAGTCTTGACAAAGTTGTTGCAACAAGTAGATCCCTTATCGGCCAGATGTATGAGGCTGTTCAACAGAAAAACGCAGAACGCAAAGCCAGACACAGCAGGTAATTGCACATCCCGGCTTAACGAGACCATCATCTCCGAGGTGAGATTCAGCAACTCGCGGACATAGGCGAGATACTCGTCGACAAAGAAATGGATAAACGCACCGTTCGATTGAAGGCGGCTTCAAATAAAAAGAAAATGTTAGATTGTATACATAGATATAATGTCAATGATAAAAAGAACTTACTGCAGCCCATCCATTAATTTTAGAACGAGTATGTCGCCCACATCCGCCGCACTCACACGAACCTCCAAACGAGAGGTAAACTGCGTCTCCTGATGCTCATCCAGGCAACGTTGGTAGACGTTCTGTTTAGAGAAGAATGAAAAAAGTTAGGCAAAGACAATACAAATAATACTACATAAACACTTACCAGCCCTTGTCTCCAATGGCCAGTTGCATGGTTGATGGTTGCCCGAGACTTTGACAGGGACCAATCCTCACCGACGGAACCGTTGAAGCCTTGCCTGGCTCTGGTGAACGGGATCTTGACATCATTGTACATAATCATCTTCCAAGCTTCATTAATGGCTGGAGCAGGGTTCTTGCCTGACATGCCACCGAAACGGCCAAGGCACATATCTTGACACTCCGAAACGGTACCATCGCCACCAAAAAGTTCACCAGTTACCGAACAGAACTCTTCTTTTAAAAAACTGATGATTGGACGGTTATCATCAACAGAGACCGCAAAAAAGTTTGACCCAATGTCCACCCTAGTTTGGACGGCAGCCAACTGATTCCAGTCAATCATATTACTGAGAATTGCCGTATGACTGAATCTACGCAGAGGAGCCTTAAACCCAAACGCGGAAAGGACAAACCTGAAGTGACGAAACATCGCCAAAGATTGCTTTTCCCGAACCATATCACGCATGATGTCAACGATATCGGAAAGCTCCTCCGTCCATAAAGTAAGAGACAAGGCATTGTGGACACCACGAGCAGCTGATTGTTCGTACGAACTACCACAGCGGTTGTATTCTGAGGGGACGCGATCTTTGGACACCTTTACAGCGGGAAGAAAAATTTCGTTGGCGAACTTGGCCTGGTGAAACGAGTCAAGTACGGAGGCATCAGAGTCCATTTCCACACCAAGCTCCTTTGTGATGTTTGAGATATTAAAAAATAGATAAAACAGAATAAAAAGAAGTAATAAGAAATGAGTCTCTATTAATCCTTTATTAAAGTTATGGAGAGAAAGTCATCGCAAAAGGGAGGACCCTTTTTGTATCAAACATCTGGGAGATTGAATCTGGTAAGGAATAGGCAGTGGCTTGTTTCTATCTTCTGAAACATGGCAATTAGAATTACATGGTCTTAGGTCAATCAATACTTTCTTATATTGATTGGCCCAAATTATTAAGTGAAAAATTCTCATTAGCTGACACTTCAGTAACAGATTAATGAGAATCAAAAACAACCAATAATAATATAATTTCCCAATATATACACAACCAGGTGTAAACTTTAAAATTTCAAGACCATTTTTTTCCCAAAAAAAAAAGTAAAAATAGATATGAAAATTGTTTCCTTTTTGGTTTTGTGGTTTTGTTTACGTTTCCTTGCTGTACAAACAAAACAATAAAATACAAATACAAAATACGAAAATAGTTTTTTTTTAAAATTGCCTTAAAAAGCGAAATTTATTTATATAAAAAATTGGCCCACAAAATCAGAAACCGGCAAAAAGCGCCTGTTTGCCCCTCGGGGCTACGCAGGCCGACCAGGCAGGCTATTCAGCCTTGACAGACAGGGCAGACCACGTAGCCCAGACAGGCCACGTATGACACGTATAGCAGTCAGTGAATTCAAGCTAGAAAACCCACGCAAAACTGATTCTGTTTGAGCTGAAGCTACGGAAAAAGGTATTAATGTGATATTCAAGTGTCTGTGGTAGATGTTGTACTTACATTTTATCCGTGCTTAAGCAGTATCACGAGCTAATTTATAAAGTGAATAATGTGTTTAGTAAAACGGATAATGATTAATGTTAAAATTATAGTACCTTGTATGAAGCTTTACGCGATATATCTATTGACAAATGAAACGCGTTATGTATTAGTTTAGGATGTAAAATTATCACCAAGATATTACTTACGGTATTTCAAAGAGAAAAGAGCCTCTAAAAAATAAAAAGGCGTTTGTTAATGATATATTATTACAGGGAAGCACAGTAAAGAATAAAGTATACCTTTATAGATACACATCTTGAAAGTAAAAGGGGATAGAAGATTATATTATTGCATAAGTCATGAAATAGCTACCTTTTTCGCGTTTGACTTTGATTAAATTGACTGTGAGAGAAGAATTAGTAGAATGCCTTATGATAGTATTGTTAAGACAGATGTTCTATGACATACCATTGTTCATAAGCATCATAATATTACAAGCAATAATCACGCGTTTGTGAAGACACGCCACGGTTAAAAAAAAATACGTAAGAGAAAGAAAAGCGACCTAAGAAAATTGGGTTGCGTGACAAAATATCGTTCCGCAATGACGTTTGTAAATTATTGCACCAATCAAATTGACAGCTTATGTCCGCATAAGCTAAGCATTAAACACATTTTTTGATCTGAACGATATATAAACCAAACACAATCCCCAGAGTGCACTTTATCAAAATTCTTTATTTTATTATAAACAACTTACTTTAATTTTAAAACACTATGAAAAAAACACCTGGAACAAATAAGTTCCGTGCAAAACCTGCCTTACCGCCTCAGGAGCAAACGTGTGTGTTATGTAAATACAGTACAATTAATCGACACTCTTTTAAAGTGCATCAACGATCAGGACACCACTTAGAACTTCTGGAGGCGATTCAGTCCAATCAAGGATCACTACCTGCCAATGACATCCAACAACAGTAAGTGAGCGTCTTCATCAATTTAAAAATAGTCAGTTTGTACTTATCATTATTATTTTTAGGAATACCTCTGACGAACAACCTACTATCCCGCTAAGCGAATCTCGTAGTTCTGATATGGAGTCCATTGAAAGGTAAAGTTATTTAAGGCTGTTAAATATATTCAAATTACTTACATCAATATACATTAGACCAATCCAACCTGAACGCACTGCCGAACCATTGTCTGAACCTGCAAATGAATTTGATGAAAATCAATATGATGATTATGATGGTGACGGTGATGATGATGGGCGTGATGATGGTGAAGAAGAATTCGATGGTGGTAATGCCTTTGACCATTTCAACAATGATTTTAACAACGGAGGGGAATCTGATGATGATAGCGAATCTAATGAACCTCCCGTTCCTGTTAACGACGTCAACAACGGCTCTAATGGTGATGGTGGTGATGATGGTAATGATGAATATCTTGATTTGAGTGGTGATGTCAACGACAATCCAGCATATCCTTTCAAAAATGAATACATAATGCATGCCCTTCTTTTCTTCAAGTCTGGTAGCTTTAAGTATTCAGAAGTCCAAATCAAATCAGTTCTTGATTTTGGTAAATATATGGCTGAAATTGCAATCAAAGAGTACAGAGCTCAACTAGCTTTGGATCCTTCTGATGTTATTTATGATTTCCGTGGTTATCCCACTCCCCACAGCGTTTCCAGATTTCACAAATCCAAGAAAAGTTGTATACCTTGTTTTCCTCATGCTCCCCATTGTGCGAAAGATGATAACGGCGGACTTCTTGTCGAACCTACTGAACCTGCCACATCAACTAGCACATCTGGTACTGCTACAGCAGCTCCTGCCTCTACCTCTGCTCCTGCCTCTACCTCTGCTCCTGCCTCTACCTCTGCTTCTGCCAATACCTCTGCTCCTGCCACTGATCCTGCTGCAACAACAAATACAACTGCTTCTGCACCCGCTGTTCCTGTTGTTGTCGCATCAAAGCCTGACTTGTTTCTTAATGATGTATCTGAACACTTGCGACTTCTCGTAGGTAATCCCTGTATGTCTGGTTTCCTGTCAGATCTTCCTGATCGAACACCTAACCAACGAATCAAGCTAAGTCAAGGTGAAAAGTGGAATTGTGATAGATTGTTTGAGCATCCCATGATAATTACTGGTCCAAATCTTCAACTCTGGGTATCGGATAAAGTCTCTTTGCTGTCTGAGAGCAATATTCCTCTTCGTGATCGCCAATATTTTAAAGTGGCCAAGATATTCCAAATATCAAAAGTTGTGAACGTTGATTTGTATCCAATTAAACCCGATAATAATCTTGAAATGTGCTGTTTATACGACATCCTTCTCCACTGTCCCATAACCGACCTTGACATCAATAATGTCTTTCGTGCCGAACATGAATCCTTCGATGCATTTACCAGCTTACAACAAATAAATGGTGACGATTATCTTTGTTCTAGAGATGTTGTTGCTAATACTCGATTGATTCGCGCTCATCATGACATGATTGATACTGGTAATAAGTACAAGCGTCCACTGCCCATTAGATCACGTATAAGAAGCATAAATCCCAATTCGCCAAACTACCAGGTCGTTAGAGTAATTCCGTACAACCTTTTCTCTGATGATACCAGTGGTAACTCCACATCAAAATGGAATTGTTTCGATTCGTGGTCGATGAATCCTGCCGCTGTTCCTCTTAGTGTTGCCAATCATTATTTGAATCAATTTTTTATATGTGGATCAAATCGTCATACTGCTATGGAACAGTTGCCTTCCCTTGTCCCCGATTTGAAGAAACTGGAAACTGGTCTGCCGATGTTTGATGCTATTCTCAAGGAAGAAGTCTTTGTTGTTGCTCCTCTTTTGTTTATCAAGGCTGACAATCCTCGTCATGCCGAGGTTTCTTGTTTGAAAGCTTCAACAGCTACTTATCCGTGTAGAAAATGCTTCTGGTGTCGACATGCTGATGCTTTTGATCCTAATAGAATTACCACGGCCGAAGAACACATGTCAGTTCCAAGAGAAAAAGGTCACTGGATGAGTTTATTTCCAAGCGATGACTCGGATAGTACTGATTTCTCGATACGTGTTCGTAACAGACAGGGTGATTATATCATGGTCGAAAACTTGATGGACCTCGGCTTCAAGGAAACTGCTGGTAAAAGGCTTTTGACGTTGTCTTCTTGGGATCCTAGCAAGGATACACCGGTAGAAATTCTGCATGGCCTATGTCTCGGTTTAATCAAATACACGTTCAACAAAGCTGCTGATTGCTTTTTCAACAAGAAGCAGGTTGATCGCATTAGTATTTTGTGTGCAAAGTATGGGTCTAAGGCTTTTACCAATTTGTCGACGCATCTCAAAGGATACAAAAGCTTTCTTGGAAGAGACTTCAAACTTATGATTCAGATGCTCCCAATTGTTCTCAGAGTTGCTCGTGACCACATTGATTTCCTCAACCTTCGTAATGATCAATTCCACCGAATGGATAACGTTATTAGTACTTTTGACAAGCTTGGTGAGCTTTGCTCATTGTGTTATAACTGTGAAATACATACCAACTTTTCTGCCTATCTCGATTTATTGCGTCAATCCGTTGATGATACTGTTGTTGCTCTGGATAACCTTGATCGTACCGTTGTTCCCAGTAACCGACGTACTCGTGGAGAGCCAGCAACAGCAACGACAACTGCATCAGTGCCCAGTCAAACTACTTCTGAAGAGATCTATGGTCTTTCTGGTGAACAATCTAATGGTGCTACGATTCCATACGCCAAAACTGGTGGTCCATTGTGTAATCGTTTAAAGACTCATTTGATAGTCCATTTGGTAGAGGATTGTCTTCGATTTGCTTCTCCTGTGCTTCTCGCAACTGAAAAGAACGAGCAATTCAACAAACACATTAGGGCAATTGTCATGAAGACCAACAAACAAAACCCTTCTCGTGATTTGGCTCTTATTAACGGTCGTGAGGTAATGCTGAGAAGTATTGCGATGGGTCTTGTTTGGGATAACGGTATGAAAACTCGTGGTAGTCTGGTCAAAGCGTGGTTCGATAGGTACAGTGAGGACATGTACTATTCTGCTAATCGGGAATTCGGCAGTACTGAATATATTGCTGGAAAGAAGATTGCTTTGAACATGACGGCTATTCTCGATGTTGACTTGGATTCTCTTGGGGCGCGTCGTCTGCTTGGAAAGGTGGTAAAACTTCGCGGCGATCAGGCTATTGTTGAGGTGTATGAACTTGTTCCCAGGCCAGCCTTCGTGATTCACGATGACAGTAGCCTCATTTCTGTCTATCAAGCTGACGAAGGTGGTAATCTCCTCACCAAGAAAACTGAAGAAATCTTGGACTTGCTGAAGTATAAACTGACTGTGGTGGAATTACTTGACATGTCTCAGGAAACTGAGATTGACACTGTCAAGTATTCTCTTATCAACAAGTGCAAGTTCGGTACTTTCTGGTGGCTCCATAACACTAATCGTTATTTCAAAATTTTAGAAAATGAAAGAAACTAATCATTTTGTTTTTTTTTACATGTCATTTTTTCAAAAAAATAAAAGTCTCTTCCATTTTGTTATCCAATAAAAATGCTTAGCTGCACGAATCGCTATCCTGACCCCCATAAAAGACGCTAAAGTAGTTTTCAAGGTGCACAAAACCTTCATTCAGTTGTTTATTTCATAACATCTGGCCTTCAATCACGTATTTTGTTTTTTCGCCCAATCGCAAAGTTTTATTTTTTTAAAAAAAAATTCTGACACGGGAATTTACTTTTTGGTGCAGAATTTAAGAAATATTTAAAGTTTTCAACTGGTTGTGTAATCTGTAACAAGATTATACTGGTAATATGAGAGTAAAACTCGAATATTATAATTTAACCACATTGAAGGTCATTCTATACGATATTTATTGGAGGAAATACGACATCATTCATGTTTGGAAATATGATATGGATTTTCAGATGGCATTGGTCATCCATCGTAAAAAGTAACGTGTGATGGCAGTCCTTAACAGGCATCTTGAAGTTGTGATGCTCATACGTGCAGTAATCCAAACGAGTGATACGAGTACTAAAAGGGATGGCTCAGGTAAAAGCGCACACGGTTATCCGGGAGCAAGGGAATGTCACGCAAGCCGTAGGTGATGAAGGCATCGACAATAGGGTTTAAGGGGATAATTGGGGGTTGGGGTTGATGTGTTGCTATGAAAAGACAGTGTTGGCATAGGAATAGGGCGAGAAAAGTACAAGTGGGATCAGCAGGGAGGACTTTACGTGTATAATAATTTGGATATCAATGATATCATCGGGTCGTGTGCTATTCTACACAATGCATGAACGGCAACAGGGGAGCTAGGTTTCGGTGGTTTGGTTCTTGAGCCTGCTGGTCTTGTAGTTGGAGAGCAGGATGATACATGTGTTATAGGTAACCGTGCCCGCTTGCGCATCTTTAATGCAGCTTTTCCTTAAATGTGTTAAGTACCAAATTTTTTTGAAAAATAAAACAAATTTATTATTGAAGAAAAAAGCCCATTTTATTTTAGTCGATGTTATGAGGTTTATATTCATCGGACAAAGGATAAGTGATATCAAGCAAGTCTGACGGAACAAGAGAAACCGTCGTGACATTGCCATCGATCGCATGTCATTGGCAGAGGGGGTGGAGGCAGTGTTGTATGGGAGGGTGCTGTTGGAAAGGGTGCTTCTGACGACGGTGTTGCTGGTGTTGGTGTTGTTGGCGTGGGTGTTGTTGTACGCGCTGGTGTTGCTGGCAGAAGGACTGTTGTACTGATAGTCATTGGCTTCAGGAATACCATTGACATCTGGGCGGAAGTAGTGGCTGGTGTGGTTGGTATAATTGTAGTCACCGTTTTCAAACGCATTGTAGCTGGTGGCGTTGTTGTTGCTTGAGCCGAAATCCCCTTTCATTACCATCAGCATCTGGCGCTCGATATCCAGACTGGCCTGCAACAGCACGGCGATGCGAGACTGCACCTGGTCCTGTTTGTCCATGGACTTCAACGGCTGACCAAAAAACGTTGTCGAAGGAGCAAGATTTCTACTGAACGTTCTACGCTCAGGCTCACCACGCTTAAAACAACGTGCCTCAATCTCCTTTATAGAGGTCACCAGATGCTCGATCGTTCGGTTGACCCCTCTACTTCTACTGGCAACCCCACGAGTCACACCCTTCTCAGCATCATAGTTTTTGACCGCTCTTACTCGTCTAGCACCGAAACTTCACCACGATTATCTATCGCCTCTCCAGAAAGAGAGGTATACACGGTAGTTGGCGTCATGGTGCGCATGTCACTGGTGGGGTTCTCCATCGCATCATAGTAAACCCAGTTTTCAATCGGTGCGGTACCAGTTGGATTCAACGTATCATTGCGATGTCTGAAGGCAGCACAGGGAGCAGACCACTTAGACTTCAATGGACTCAAAGGTCTGTTTGCATTGGTGCTATTGTTGGTCTTGAATGAGTGCAACATTCATGGTACAACTCATTTGGTCTAGCTAGCGTACGATTGGACTCCATCCGCTTGTTGTAATCAGCATACAATTCAATAAGCGCAAAGGTGCTAGCAGAATTCCATTTTGAGCGCGTGTATCTGGTATCCGAAACTTAATAGTGGCATCAGCATCTGTGGCATCAGCAGTGGCAGTAGCAGCTGCAGCAGGGGAAACGGCGGCAGCAGCAGGAACGACGACAGGAACCTCCTGTTCTTCTGAAACAGTAGTAGCATGCGAAGGTTGCTACCATAGGCTACACCATTTGGTGTCACTTAAATAAACTGGTGATTGATAGGGTTGTTGTTGTTGTTTTGATTATTCATTTTAGAAGAATTAAGGTAAGGAAACAGTAATAGAATTTTATTAGGTATTTCAGCATTTTAGTAGTCCATTTTAGGACCGTTTATTTCTGGAGGCTTCACATTCGATGCCCAAAGATTTTTCATTTTTAAGCAGTAGATTAATAATAAAAAAAAATCCCAACATTATTTTTGACAGAATTCAATTTAGGAAAAAAATATTGATAGAAAAACATTTTTTTAAAAAAAAAAAAAAAAACAAAAACGGAGCTTGTCCATATCAGTACATCTCCTATTTAAGATCTCAATATATTTTGTTTCATGTCAGCAGGCTAAATCATACAAATATGAGAATTCTGGTCCGTTATCCCTCAAAATCCGTTGATTTCAGGGTACTCCGGTCCGTTATCCCTGAAAATCCGTTGGCTTTAGGGTACTCCGGTCCGTTATCCCTGAAAATCCGTTGGCTTTAGGGTACTCCGGTCCGTTATCCCTACAGATCCGATACTTGAGGGTTCCCTGATTACATTAAACTAATGACCAAAATACATTATAAGAAATTAGAAACGGTTCCGAAATGGTTCAAGCATTCTAAACTTGTGTGGGGATTATCTGAGCTAATTTCACATCTAAGGTAAGTCACAAATCATATCAGAACATCCTTAAACGTGCGCTGAATTTGAAAAACGTATATACAGTGCCCTCCAAAGTATCGTAACCGTTTAAGGTTTTCGTATTTTGTGTAATGACATCACATACTCATTCATAGGGAAACTTTCCAAACATTTTTAGTTTTCTGTTTTTTGTTATTATTAAGTTATGGATCCGGTTAACAGCGCTTCATAGGAAATATATAAGCTATTATCACTATTATAAGATGTTAAACACTTTTTTTTCATAACCTTTACTGAAACATTTTTATTCTAAACATGTAACCCATTTTTGAGTCTACCACATTTTCGTTTAGTCCAATGTGGCTCTAATGGTGTTATTGCTTTGGAGTCTGGTTCTAGTATTGGTGTATTGAACAGAGCTATAAAAAAATTAATCAAGATAACCTGTTCAATTAGTAGGCCTGTGAGGAGTGGATCGGGGCAAGAGCAGAACAGAATAATTATTAGGGTGAGGACAAAAGAAACAGACATTATATATCTATTAGTATTGATACATATATAAAAAGGAATGAAGGTAGAAAAAGGTTTATTCAGAGGAGCAGGAAAAATAGATAAGATCTTGAATACAGAAATAAGAATAAATAAACATGTTGTTATTTATCTTTATTGACAGATTGGGTAAACAAAGGTTGGGGGATCAGATTAACAAAGACTGACTATTAGTCATAGGCCGTTCCCAAGCAAAACTTTTTTTACGTTTTGGGAACAAAAGTATTTAGCTCAAAATAGTAATTTAAACTATAAAAAACATTTTACCAGCCACAATTTATGGGGGGTTGGGCAATTTACAAATTAGTAATTTATACCCTCGTAGGTGGGGGCTATAAATTACAAAAAAGTAAAAACATGTGTGACATGACTTAAAATAATATTTCTAATTACAAAACTAGCATGTCTTATTTACTGGTTGTATATGGGCCACATTGCTATCCTCAGTATACTAAAATTATAAGCTAGTACTTATACTGGGGGGACCAAACCTTTTTACAAATCGAGCGATTTGTTTTTTGAAAATAATGTCTGCTTGGGAACGGCCATATTTAGTTTGGGACATCTTTGGGGTAGCGGGAATGAACACAGATAATTTCGCAGATAGATACAGAGGATAACATGAGCTGATATTATTAATGTTTTAAAGGGAGTTCAAAGGCAGAGGTACCAAGGAAACGCATGTTTAATGGTTTTACAAGAACAAGGGACAACGGGGATACATTATTTGGAACGCAGGCGTTAGACAGGATATAATAGTGATGTTTGACAGTGACATGTGTCACAGGAGGCAGAGAACAGGGAACAGGTGGAACAGGTGGAACAGGTGGAACAGGTGGAACAGGTGGAACAGGTGGAAAAGGAACAATGGGCTGGTTGGGTTTCAATAATGGTCTGAGACATTTTGCATGATTATATGCAACTGACACATAGGCGGTTCATGACAGTCCTCTAACTATCAACCGGCGGGCTGACCGATCGTCTTTCAGTTTTTGTCCCGCAGGTTGACCGTTCCTAAATTAATTTTTGACCGGTCGGTTGACTGGTCGATGTTTAATTGCTAAAACGTGGCTGTAGTGTTCGTTATTTCAAAATATATGGAGTTTTTACGAAAACTGCAATAGCAGAAGGTCAATTATTGTGTCCAAGGCCTATTTGGATATTGAGCTGAAAATTTTATGGCTAGAAAAATAAACCCATTTTCAATTATTTTTTACGCAATCTTTGCCATAAACTTAATATAATCATATTCCTGATTATTATTCCGCCTAATCACGTGTGCAAGGAATGTCCAAAAAGACAGAAGTTTACTATTTTGGTTGCCATGAAATCTCCTGTAAAGTCTTACCCAACACAATAATTGCCTGTGTTAAAGTTACGCAACTCGTTGTTAAGTATATCACTACAGGTGTCTACTTCTAAAGTTGTATTTTGAACGCATTATAATTAATCTGACTAAGTATTTCGATACCATGTCTTATATTCCAAATAATGCGATACGAATCATGTCTCATGGAAAACAATTAATGTAACGTGCCCCTAAGCTTGAACCTGATAAACTTTTTGCTCTTTTTTAATTAAAGTTTTATACCACAAAAAACGTTTTGCTACAGATTTCTGACAGACGAACGATTGTAACATTGATTTGAAACATAAGCAAATAGTTTAAATATTTGGTTATAAAAACGTTTTACTGATAGCTATCAAACATTATTAGTGCTAAAATATTAAAGCGGGGGAGTATAGGGAAAGCCCGTCGTTTGAAAGAAACAAAAAGAGCAGACAGTAATTTTGTAAAACCCGACTTCGATCTGTAAAACTAGCGGAGTGTAGTTATTATTTTATAAGAGATAAAAATGGTTGATGATTTATTAAAATAAAGTGATGCTATTTATAATACTGTGTCACGTGTTTACGTAGCATGATAGATCCAATATAAGGCTATAAGATGACAACGAAATGCTTTTAATTTAGACATCTTACCCGTCTTTTGAAACGTAAAGCAATGAATGCTTATCGGTTTTTTTCTTACCGTTTTGTGCCTATACAATGACGGTGGAATAGACATAAAACAGCTATTTCCGATAGTAAAGTAGCGACAGTATTTAGTATAGCTCTCGGCTACTATTAAAAGAAGAATGCGAAAAAGAAAAATAAATAATTCGAATTTTGCACCTACATACAAAAGTTCGCTTTCCGACAGGTATGCGATTGAATCCAAAATGCATATTGAAAGGTGGTGATGGACGTCAAATTTTTTTATCTCTCACTCACTTTATTGTTCGACAACAAACACAAAAAAATCATAAATAACCGAATTAAATAACGTGCATGTTAGTATCAAAAGCGAATGTAAGTACAAGGTAAACCAATCATCTTGTAACAGATAACCAACTATTTTTGTTAGATCCAGAAAACCATGGCCATTTAATTAGTCAATGTTTGTGAATGTCAAACATTCAATTGCCATCCGAAGAAGGTGAGCTCTTTTTTTATCTTAAAAATGTATATATATTAAGATGTACATAATCAGAACAATCTACGGCCTCGCCAATTGAGGAGAGACCAATGGCTGTGCCAAGAAAAAGAATGGCCAAAGAAAACCATGAGGGTAGCTCTTCTGCCAAGAAAGGCAAATCGTATGCCTCAAACCCATACATTGATGACGAGGCCTCGTGTCAAAATGACACTGAAGAATCCAATACAATCAGTGTCGTCGAACCAGTAGAGGTTCCTACCACCCCTTCCAAGGAGGCGGATGCTATCATTACCCCAACTGTCGCAATTCGACAAAACATGTCGATTCTAAGCGCTCCACTCTGACTCAAGGCAATCAGAGTCTTAAAAATGCCTACTATGACAGCCACCACCGAGCAAAAAGACATTGATAACTTTCTGAAAGATATCTTCTTTTATTTCAATGCTGGTCAGACTTACGATGTCTTGGGAAAGTGCATCCAATACGTCGGATGTTATCACTTTTTTTGTTTCTTGGCAGAATCGAAATTACAAGGCCAAGGAACACATAAAAAACATATGCAAGCAATCAAAGGTAAAACATACATGGCCTATTGCATACTTTAAAGATTTAACCTTCTTTCAATAGACGGTCAATCCATTAAATACCAGACCACACTTTTAAAAGCTGCCGGTAAAAGACACAATGTGTTACTTAAGGACTTTAAGTACGGCGCTCTTGCCATTGTAATTCCTAACTCCGTTGCAGCCTTTGAGCGATGGAGCTGGGAAAAATTCCCAAACATTCATTAGTGTGATTAAGCAGGATAAAGCCTTAACAAAGGAATTACAAGATCTTCAGCTTCACTCCTCTTTCTTAGACAAAACTGGAGAATTAAATTACGTATATTATAAAGACAGCGGCTAAATTCGTTCCGATCATATTCAAAATAATAAGGAGTTCATTTTTGCTACTTGGCTTTAATTCAAGGTCGTAGTGTTTCATTGATCCTAATTGTGACACAATAAAATATCAATACGAAAGACTTTTTTTTCATCCTCTCTTATCATTAACAAGAGCCACGGCTCTTTGCAAGGTAATTGACAAGATAATGGTAGTAATGTAGTGTGAAAGACTAAGGCGGTGCGTCGGTCCATGAGAGTGCCAGGTCCTATGAGAAGGAACCAGTACGAGATTCTTCTTTCATGTATAGCAACACCAGACAAATGTGGGAACGATACATGCAAGAACGATATTCTACTTAAAACAACGAGCTCTTTTTAACGGTTCTATTCTTGTTCCAAAGAACGATGATCCCATTGACTTATTTATCTTTTAGTACCCTACATTACGCGCACTACACTATTCTTCCCTCTGAAGGCCAAGCCTTGACCCACAAAGCACCCTGAATGAAAGTCGGAACTACATAAAGTTATAACGAATGCCTTCGAGGCTTTCTAGTGTTATATTTCTAGGGCAAACTTGTTTATTCGGTTTCATAGTTTTTATGAGTCTGAAGTTAGATGAATAGAGTCTAATTTTAGACTCATCTTTTAGATATACGGTTACCATATGTAAGAATCCGGTTCAAAAGATAATAGACACTAATTTTTCAGAGCATCGACGGTTTTTTCTATATAAGATTATAGGAATTAATAAACAAGTTCTAGTTCATGAGCGTTAAATTAGCCGCATGGTAAACATTGGCGGGATGGTTGAGATTCGATCTCCCTGTATTAGGAGCGAAATATCAGCTTGATACCGGAATATTTGAGTGGCTGACCCTATTTTGAGGATATTTATCAAATTGCGTAAAACATTTTACTTGTTTTGATTTCTCATTAATATACAATTGGCGAATGTCAAGAGCTGAAAGGCCTACAGGACAGACAGAATAATACTTGCTGCCAAAAACAGAGTTGTCCACCGAATGAAATTTAACATTTTTACTAAAATATAGCTAAAACTAGTACAAAAATGATATAATCATTTTTGACCACATTACTAATACGTTCATGATATAAATTTCCAAGAATCAAGTGATGCAGTGTATAAAATATATTATAAGTAGGAGTCACTTGAAATTAACTTGCTACTTCCATTTTTTTTGGATGGAAAATGGGAAAACGTGCTTAAATACAAGCGAGTACGGAGGAAGTTAATAAAAATATCACCAATTGGTATGGTAGGTAATTTTATGCCAACAACCAGTACTGATAAATAATTGGAATAGTTTTAGCATGATAAAGGAAATCTCTTCACTGCATATCGGGCAAACAGCAACGGAATTGACACCATATTTACCTTGAAAATTTTTAAATACATAAAAAACCCGACAATATAACCAAAAAATATTTTTTCCGGCACTTGTAAAGGACCGACGCAATTTAGACAGTTTCAGGAAAAACTTGTACGTTCATGGAGCAAGTATGAGAACAAAATAACATGTAACCGTCACCAGCCAAAAGATACATTAATAAAAGTAAAATTTACTTAAAGGGCAAAAATATTTTTCAGAAGTCGAAAAACATTTTTAAAGAGGTAGGAATAGTTTTAATAAAATGCCAATAGCCTGGGCTGTCTAATTACATTGTTAAAAAAGTCTCTACCATAAGGGAGGTAAGACACGACACAGTCAGACATAGAAGCCCAAAAATACTTTGGTCAATTACCCTAAACGTTTGACGGACACAGCAATAAGCCTTGTTGTAACAGTTCTAGCTTTATATCGAGTATTTATCTACGAAACATTACGAACAGAAAACAATTATTTATCAGAAAACCACAGAAATTAGCAAAAATGTCGATGTTCCAGAATACCTATTAATTATCCCATATGCTTAAACAAGTAGTACTTGTAACAGTTTCATAATTGACTAGCTCGTGTTGAAACAAAATATGAACACCAAACCGTCATTGTTTATGAAGTAAGTCTAAAATTGTTATAATAATAATTAAAAATCACGTACAAATCTTTGATTAACGATATCAAGTGTTAGGGGAATATCTGTGACGGTAGTAGTACTTGGTAGGGCAGCTTTAATTAAAATATAGAAATGAATCGGCAATGACACAAAGGGAGCAATGAATTTACTAAAAACACGAATAGTCAGTAGTTGATGGAAATTTTTAACAACACAGCAAATTTTTGCAGATTTAAATACTTTTGTCCTTTTCCAAAGACTCTGTCAAATACATACCAGATAGGCAGAACATGAACTGACACAGTAATGAACCAAACACGCTATAAAATAAATAAAAAAAAAAGGACAATTAAACAAAAACAGAAAAATATTTCCCAGAAGTTGAAAAAAAATTCTAAGGACCTGGGAAATAATTTTTTAGATCTAGAATAATTATCTTTGAGCGTAAAATCAATTAAAAAAAAAGTAGAAAGGACGATAGTTTGTTTATATGTCAACTAGTGGTAATAAATGGCTAAAATGTAGCGATTTATTACGAATTTATTTCTAAGTAAATTGAAGTCACGTACAACATTAGCGGTAATAAGAAATCATCAAAAGGACAAGGCGATTATTTATACGCCAAAAATCTACTTAGAGTGTATTTATGGAATGACCACGCGTAAGAAAGTAATAACTCCCAAAGCATGAATAACAACATGACTCTTTTTAACAATTTCCGTGCATATTTTAACCAAACACAAAGATCTTCGGATCAGCTTATAATAGTTGCAGTAACGATGGACAGGAAACATAAAATATCTGACAGTTTATTCGAAGAACTTCTTAGTAGGTTGCTAGTGATAGAAATTTTTTTGCAGTGTCTCGCCCCTCTTTGTACCAAGTAAAAGAAAGATTGATCGACGACTGAGAAAAAAGTACCGACATGTCAAAAAAAAACCAAACAACAGGTAAGTAATGAGCCTTTGCACAAAACCCGGAATGGAAGGCAGATTGAAGTAGTTTAAGATTTTATTAAAAACTACGTACACCGCGAGCAAAATCAGTAGGTAATGAAATGAATCCGTATTGAACTAAATGTGTCCTTGAATAAGTAAAAAATGAAAATATCACAAGATATTGTTTTTAAGACACATTTAAATGACCACAAAAACAGAAGTAATTAAAACAACATCTTATGCACTTCTCGCAAGAGTTTGGAAACAGGAAACTAAAGTGTGGTATCAATCAGAAAGAGATTGCCAGAAGGAAAATATTTTATGGAAAGACAGAAAAGTCTTTCTTAGAAGTTGAAAAGTACTTAAAATGCTTATAAAAACATCGTAATAATGTAACTACGCTGAAAAAAGTCACCCCAAGCTGTTTAAGCAACTACAAAAAAGTCCATCACCAAAAATGATCAAGTCAAGGACAAAATAATAAAGTAGGAACTATAAGGTCGTAGATTGTTGTGCAAAATATAACAAACGATATGTGACCACATAATTAAATGTCTGTTTAATCGATCTAGCACATAAGAGGGCGACGTCCTAGAAAATATAGTAAGGATTAAACAACATTAAACAAAGTACCAAACGTACGAAGCCAATATAGGAATTGGTGGAAGATACATATTCTATCAAATGATCTTGGTCATCAACGGTTTTTGAAATAATTTCGGCATACGCCAGAGAAGCATTCCACCAAGTACAACGAGTTTACAATCATCATACAATCGTCATAAAGTCTATATGGAGTAATTACTGAGAACGAGATAAGGTTTTCATAAGACGTATAAATGACATGAGACATGCTGAAGAAGATCTGGTACTTCCAAGCGGCTTGTTGTGTGGGAGTTATTGTTATTCCATCAATATTCTCAAAGAATAGACATATTGATTAAAGAGACGAAAATGGCCTAAAATTAGTTTGTTACGACCACATCCGGAAATGAAGGAGAAGCCGAATGGATATAGATTATGATGGAGAGTATATAAACAACACGCAATGTAAGAAAAACACCAATTGACGCATTGTGGGACTAAACACTTTATTGAAATCAAATCTTTTACATAAATATATACAAAAAAAATATATTAAAAGTCTGAATGAATTTATAACGTCATGGGAGCAGTGCAGATATATTCAGAATCGTCTACAATATGTAAACAAAAGGCCAGATAGGTCTTGTTATCAAATAATTCATACAAAAATGATGAAGTCATAAAATTTTATCAAGCCTGAAAGTATGTACAGGTCACAATTAAGGAGAACTGTCATGCTACATATCATACATAGTTATGGATTTTAAAGAAAAACCCATATACGTTACTTGGAATGAAAATGGACAAGGACCAAAAAAACAAAATACCAGCAGAATATTGTGAGCAACATAAAATCTAAAAGCGTCAAGAGGCAAATACAATAACGTACCCAGGTCGATTAAGGTGACAAGATATCCTTGTATTCAAGAAAAAGATAATTACCAAGACGACAGACAATTCAATTTACCAAGTAACTAAGACAACAAGATATCTAAGGCGACGAGATATCTTGGGCAACAATATCAGGAAGACAATATGATATCTATGACAGCAAGACATACGGGATAACAGTATATCCAAGACGTCAATGGTACTAAGGTAACGAAATAACCAAGGCAATAATGTGTCTAAGGCAACGAAATCGTTCAGACAACATGATATCCACGACAACGAGAAATATAAGACAAACAGATAAATTAGACAGCCAGATATCCAAGGCAACGACAAATCTAAGCGGATAATGTATCTAAGATACAAGATAACTAAAACAACAGGGTATCCAAGTGAGCAAGTAACGAAGACAACTATATGACCAAGACACCGACATATCTACGACAACAAGGTGACGAAGACAACCAGGTAAGTAAGACAACCGTATCGATAAGACAACCAAGTATGCAAGACAACCAAGTCTGTAGAGCAACAAGATAGTTAATACAACATGATATCAAAGATAACAAGTATTGACGAAAGGAATGCGAGTAAGACAACCAGATATCTAAGACAACAAAATTACAAGGATTCCAAGGTTTCTATGACAACACGTAACAAAGCAACCAAGGCAGTAGGAAAACAAGATATCTATAACAACAATATAACTAAGAAAACAGCATATCTATGACAACAAGATACCTACGACAACAAGTAGGCTAGGACAATAGGAGATCTAGGACAACCTAGTATCTGTGACAAGCAGAAAACTATGATTACCAGAGAACTATAAGTACGAGATATCTTTGAGTACCAGATAACTATAACTACCAGATAACTATGGCTACGAGATACATATAACAAATAGATAACTATGAGTAATCATATCACCATGACAATACAGATGACAATGAGTACCAGATAACTATGGCTACGAGATAACTATAACCACTCGATACATATCACAAATAGATAACTATGACTAATCATACCAATATGACAACACAGATCACTATGAATACAAAGATAACCATGACTACCAGATATCTATAACAACCACATAACTATGTCAACTAGTTAACTATGATGAATACATAACCATGTCAACTAAAAAAAAAACCTATGACAACAGGATGAATATGTCAATTAGATTTCTATGCCAACAAAGGAATAACTAGGACAATTAGACAATTAGGACAAATACAACACTATGAAGATCAGTTATCACCATGACTAGGATTGATCACCATGACTATGATTAATAACCATGACTATGATTAATCATTACGACCGATATTGGACACTATGACTATTCAATAAGACCACGATCATCCCCTAGACAACCATCCAGACATAGACAATGAATATTAACTAGACAATGAAGTTGACCATGACAATGCACCCGAAAAACCATATAGCCCAGACAACCCTGTTGCCTACGACAACCCTGTTGCCTACGACAACCCTGTTGCCTACGACAAGGGGAGTCAGAAGGAGTAAAGGGGGATAAGAAGGGGAAGATTTAGGGATAGGGTTATGTTGTGAAGTTAGAGAGAGAGAAGTAAAGTAGGCTGAGATGGTAAGATTTAGGGATAGGGTTCTGTTGGTAAGTAAGAGACAGAGAGACAAAGTGGAGTAATAAGGGGAAGTTTTAGGGATAGGGTTATGCGGACACATGGATAGTTGTGTAAGGTAGGTGTAAAGGAAGGGTAAGAGATAGACAAGAGACAAGTGAAGGGGAAGAGACAAGATTTAGGGATAGGGTTAGGGTTTACAGTTTATTTCAGGGTAAGTGACAGTGTGGAAGAGATAAGTGAGTGAAAGTAGAGTAGTAGAGTAAGTATTGGGGGCAAAGGAAGGATAAGCAGGGTAGTTTTAGGGATAGGGTTTCACTGACAGGTAGTTGAGTGAGAAGACAAGAGAGGTAAGGGTAAGAGTGTGTGTGAGAAGTAAGAGAGAGGTGGGATAAGAAGGGATTAGTTGGGAAGATTTAGGGATAGGGTTATGTTGGGAAGTTAGAGACAGAGAAGTAAAGTAGGATTAGACGGGAAGTTTTAGGGATAGGGTTATGCAGACACAGGGTTAAGTTGAGAGAGAGAGACAAGAGAGTAAGAGGGAAGTTTTAGGGTTAGGGGTTGGGTTCACTGGTGAATAAGGGAAAGTGAGAGAGTAAGAGTTGAGCGAAGGAAGGGGTAAGAAGCAAAGGCAGAGTAAGCAGGGTAGTTTTAGGGATAGGGTTTTGTAGTTCCATGGTTAGTAGAGTGAGAGAAGTGATAGAGTATGAGAGAAGTGGTAAGGGAAGGGTAAGAAAGAGTTAAGAAAGAGTGAGAAGAGAAGTTTTAGGGATAGGGTTTTATAGACACAATAAGAGTAAGTAAGAGAAAGAGTAAAGTAAGGGTAAGATGGGAATAGTCAGGGATAGGGGTTGGGTTCATTGGAGAGAAAGGGAAAGAGAGTGAAAGAGAGAAGTAGAAGTAGTAGTAGTAGTAGTAGTAGTAGCAGTAGAAGAATAGGATAGTTGTGATGGACTTCATGCTGGCCTTGCGGCCAGATCACTGCTTATCGCAAAATCACCTGTTGAACCTCCCCCGCCCACCACCACCCACCGCCTCCACTAATATATTAATAGTAGAGAGATTGATCAGTAGACACTTGAGAGAAAAAAAAAGAACGAAAAAACGACTAAGTAGTTTAAAGTCCGACTGATTACCATGGGGACAGAATAGGATGAGCAACGACAGAGTGAGGGTATTAGGCGAAAATTGGGGGTTGGGGTTGAAGGATTGCTAGGGAATAGGGTGAGAAAGAGTATGAGTGGGATCAGCAGGGAAGATTTAGGGTTAGGGTTAGGGTTAGGTTAGGGTTAGGGTTAGGGTTAGGGTTAGGGTTAGGGTTAGGGTTAGGGTTAGGGTTAGGGTTAGGGTTAGGGTTAGGGTTAGGGTTAGGGTTAGGGTTT